GAGGCCGGACGGAAGGCCATTCTAGCCCAACCGCCGCTTCGCCCGCGCAAAAGACGAGGCCCTGACGCGTCGGACTTTTACTGGGCCTTCATCGTCGACGAGTATCGTGTCTCAGGGGCGAGGCTTCCTGGCCTGGAAGAGGGGCCGCCGGAAACGCGAGATGCAAGCGGGGAAGGTCTGTGCCGCGCATCTGGGGTGAGGGGCGCTAATTTGAAACGTGGAGGAATCCTGGGGGCGGGGTCAGAGGGGAGCCGCCGCGCCCCGCCCACAGCTCTGATGACGACTTCCGGCGTGCAGTGCGCCGCGCCGGGCACGCTCTGCGCCTGCGCGCTGGGACCCGCAGTCCCGGGAGGGTTGGGCCGGAGGAGGCGCCCTTGGTAGAGGGGGCGGGGCTGGGCCCTCTGTCGCATTTCACCTGCGTCCCCACTCTCCCTGCTCCCCTGACACAGACCTCCACTAGGGCTCCCAGACGTCGTCCCTCGCCTCCCAGTTCCGTACAGCCCTGCGTGCTCCTCTCTCGGCCGGTCGGTCCTAACAGTGAACGGATGGCCTTGCCAGGGATGTTTGCATTTTAAGAGAGCACCAGGGGCGAGGGGAGGCGGTGGTACTGTAAGTCATCACAGTCACCTGGGGAGCATCCCCAGTTTAACTGGACTTCCCGGGATCCGTCCCACAGCCGGCGTATTAACCTCTGGTGGAGTGGGCTCAAGAGTGCATGTTCTGTAAGTGGCCGAGATGAATGTGATGCGCACTGAAGTTTGAGCTTCAGGGATGGTGGTACATCTGGTGGCACATTGCATCACGTTAACAATGTATAGCCCTCTCCCTTCCAAATGGAATTTTAGGAGTCTTTCTCTAAAATCATGTATAAGACACGATTTAAAATAAAGTCTGCTAGAGTAATCAGAATGCATGTTTGAATTGGAAAGAATTCTTCCAGGAGCGCGATGAAATGGTTACTTTCCTTGGGCTTAAAATTTCACTCTACAGGTGCAAAAAGGAACGGGACTGTTTATGTAGTTATCACTGGTGAGAGAGCAGAAATTGCTTAAGAAATTTCAGCTTTCCTGATTATGGGCCATAATGGAGCATTCACCATGCCTCTGGTCACCCTTAGTACAGGTTAAAGGTGTAATATTTAGCCATTAGGTAAGGCATTTCTGAATTCAGGGATTCTAAGCGAATGTCTGCTGCTCTCTAGTGGTCTGTCCCTCACCCGCAGTCCTTGTCTCTTTGCCCCAGGGACCCATGCAGCCGGGCTAGGGAAGGAGAGGGATGCATCCCAGAGTAAGAAAGATACGATTGTGGCGGCCCAACTCCTCCTCTTCAAAGGACATGTGCTGCCTGTCACCTGCCCTCTGCCTATCACCTTTCCCCGCAAAAGATGCCTTTAGGACGGGCTGGGACTCCTGAGTTTAGGCAAGGTGGTAACTCCTCCATCTTGAGAGGCCCTGGATTCCCCCCACTTATGCCCTTGCCTGCCTAGAAGACTGAGTTGGTGGTGCAGGGGTGGTGAAAGCAGATTCGGATAGCAGCTTGGTATGCTGGGGGTGGCAGAGGGCAAAGGGAACTTCAGTGAAATGTTTGTAGTCAGAAGGGTGGTAGACAGAGGTGATGTGAGAAACACTATCAAGTTCTCCCTCATCCATATGGTTATACATGTGTCTGCGGGAAGATTCATGAGTACTAATGACTGGTGATCTTTTCCTGGGTCCTGCTTTGAAATGCTGGTTACCCGGGCTGGCCCGGTGGCGCACTGCTACAGTGCGCCGCTTGGGAGCACGGCGGCGCTCCTGCCGAGGGTTCGGATCCCACATACAGACCGGTTCCCGCTCACTGGCTGAGAGAGGTGCGGGCGCAACACCGAGGGTTGCGATCCCATTGCCGGTCCCGGTCCGGTACGGGTGCGACACTGAGGGTTGCGATCCGTTGCCGGACACGAAAAAAGACAAAAAGGAAAAAAAAAAAAAAAAAAAGAAATGCTGGTTACCCAAGAAGCCCCAGAGAAATTAACTGAGTCCCTTAAACTTTAGAGGAGAGGTCATACACCCAGCTGCCTCCAGGAACCCGAAAGTAAGAAAAATGAGGAAAGTAAGCCATGTGTGGGCCATGGCAGACCAGAGAGGGCATACTCTGACTGATGGGGGCCCTTAATCTGCTCAATCAACTGTTACTATTTAAGAACCTGAGTCCACTGTCTCCATATTTTTTAAAGAAAAAACAAACAGGATTTGTACATGAAATGTCCTGATTTTTTTTTTTTTTTTTTTTTTTTTTTTTTTTTTTTTTTTTTTTTTTTTC